ATAGAAATATTTATAAGTAACAATAATTATTCAAAAGCTATATGATAATTGTTCATTTCATATTTTCTCTGAATATAATCTATCCATCTTCTCCATACCAAAATAAATTTCTCTTGATATTGATCCTTCAGGTATGCGGATATTTTTGCCATTTCTGCAAAGTATGAAACTTTCTGTCTCCAATCATCCATATTCGGTAGCGTCTCCTTTTTCCAATTTTGAGCAATCAATGTCCTTGCTGCTGTTATACAATACAACATCAAATTCACTTCTTTTGAATCCAGATTGTCCATAATGCCCAATAAAAATAATTGCGGTGTAAATTTTATCTTCTTCTTAAAAATCTGTTGAAGATTCCACCAAATCTTAATCCAAAAAGCTTTAACATCCCTACATGTCCACCAAATATGATAATAAGTTGCATCCAAATTACCACATCTCCAACATTTTGGTTGCAAATTCGGATACATGCAAGACAGTTTTTGAGGGTCCAAATGCCATCTGTAAAACATTTTATAAAAATTTTCCCTTAAATTCTGTGCTTAAGTGAACTTGACATTTCTTACCCAAATTATTTCCCATGTTTCTAACATAATTGACTTTTGAATATTTTGAGCCCATTTAATCATACAATCTTTAACTAATTCTGCTTCCGAATCAAGCTCTATCAAAATACTATATATTCTCCTAATATGAGCTCTGCTTTGATCTTTAATCTGTTTTATCAAGTTCACATCTTCCAATGCCAAGCCTGACTTTTGATCTATACGCCATCTCTCCACCAACTGGCTATATAAAAACCAGGACTGGAGAATATTATCTTGTCTCAATTCTTTACACAAGTAGAGAAAAATATTTTTCTGTTATATTTTTGAACTTCAGTTCCTGTCACTGAATTATTTGATTGGAAATTCTGTTCTCATCATTCTCTCTCCTATTAGCAAAAACAAAAAAACTTAAATGCCAAAATGGAGAAAGAGGCAAAATAACGTGGGTTCCAGAGAGAAAAAGGGTAGGGAGAATATGAAACAAAATGGAAGATTTATGGAATTATATTTAAAATATTCTATTGTCTAAAAGAATTAAGATTTTTTTGAATTTTGAGCATATGTGGAGGTGCTTATTTCTATTGCTATCAGATGAAAGGGTAGAAGAAAAGAAATGATGCCAATCTGAAGTAGTAGCACTGTAACTTTAAATTATATTAAAGTCCTTTTAGATGTTACTGTTCCTTCACCTATTTTTGGGAACAAGACATGTCAGTCCTACGCCAATATCACACTTGATCCAAAACAGTTGAACAAATCTCCTTTAAATCTTAATTGTAATGTGTACCACTGTTCTTTTGTTTTAAAGCTATCTTCTAAACAGGATGTGAGAGGAACAAAAATTGAAACCCCGGCTACTGGAACAACTCAAGTGAAGACACAAGCCAATGTTTCTCTTAAACAAGATAAAGTGACTATTAAAGGCCTACAAGCCAATGTTACAGTACCTAAGGTAATTAACTGTTTGACCGAGTAGCCTTGAAAAATGCAGTAGAGCTTAGCAAGAATTGTCTTGAATATAAACAGGTTGGAAGAATCAAAATATCATTTTGTGCAGATTTGGGCTGGGTGAAGGATCCAGGTTTCTGACACCTTCACTATTTAAAAAGTTGACTACTTAGTCTGGATCCTAAGAAAAGAACATTAATATGTTGAAGAGAAGTATAGGTATGAAATTGTTTGAAGCCATTGTAATTGTACTAGCTGTGCCAATGTAAAAACTGGCCAGTGGGAAGATGATAGTCAACCTCAGTATGGATTCCTTCATTATCTACAAAACTTCAAGATGAAATACCACATAATGTATTAGTTGGACCAATAACTAAGGACACTGGTTCATTTAGCCAATTGCAAATATAGGTACATTTCTTCCCAGGACTATATTTACTCAGGAAAGTGATTAATACATCAAGGCACTACTATCCAAAATAGTACTTACAATGGTTCAAGATACTTATAACTAAATAAAGAAAATATGATTGAGTCTGGTACACATGCAACAGTGTAAAAAAGAATTTTATAGCTGAGCATTATTGAATACAAAGAATGTTGAGGATGTTTTTTCATATACTAGTTGTACTTTCAATAATAACCAATCTCCCATAATATATCAATTATCATAATTCAATGGCAAAATGTGCAACATGAATGTTGATATCTCTTTAGATAAAGCAGTGCTCACACTTCCATGAAATTTTAAAAAACATTTGTTGAGTGGAATAAAAACACTGATTTGAATGTCTCTTCTTAAATCTGTGGGATAACTTTTCTAGGTAAATTTATGTTTACTTCAAGCATCAATAGAAGAATCATCGGGGACAGCCACAACCAAAAATGTAACTCATGTTTCTTTAGTGGCTTTGTGCTTTGACAGGATTGCTACACAATTCCGTATGAACAGGTAAGGCATTTTTAAAAAAAAAATTAATAGATTGTGACAAAATCATTGCTTCAGAACTCTTTTTCATCTCCATAGGGTCCCTGTAATCCAGATTTGATCTATATAATACAGTTTTTCTATCCTTTTGTTAAATGATATGGGGCAGATTTATAATGTAAATGAGTAACAAATGGCTTCAGTTATGCATATGTATTAATAAAAATATTTTTGTTAGCAAACAAAAGTATTTAATTTAAATTACTAATAAAAGAAACTGCATTTTCTGAAATGTCTCAAATATCTCTTTATTTTTTTTAATTAAAAGAGGTCTGGTTGAAGAGAATATAAATAGTGCAGAAACTGGGAGAGGTTCTGTAACTTTTGAGAAGTATGTCCATTCCAATAAAATGCAGCCCCAATCCTCTGGCTCTCTGCGATCAAATGCTGGAATAGAAAAAGGAAAAGAAATTGCAGCTAAACTTAATATTCATCGTATTCATGGGCAACTCAGAGGCTTAGATACTTCAGGTAAGCCTTTTTGTAATGCTAATTTGGCAGTGCTTCACTACAAAAATCTTATTAAGACTAGAATATTGCAAGGATTTCTTAATCCTAACCCCAAAAAATACAAGACATTCAAAAAAAGTGCATTAAAGGAAAAAAAAGGCCCAACTCATATTATTTCCCCAGTTGAATACTGATTAATAAATTACTAAAACATTGATTTCCTTGTGAAACAGGCTCTCCAAATTTTTAAACTAAAAAATCTATTTACAGATTATTGACCTGTCATCTTTATACTATATTAATGACAAAATAATTAACAGGAAAAACAATAATAAAAAAGGCAAAGTTAAAGTTTCAAAACCCTGTTATTAAACTGTTATTATAATCAACTTGTAGAAAATTATCTATCCCAATTACTCTTAAGTCTCATCCCAAGAGTTAAGAGTAATCTGTCCTGGATCAAATATCCACAATTGTCACTTCTCCTTTTACTCAGGCTTCTGCTATTGTAAGAGTGCAAGCTTGAACTTCAGAGAAGTGTATGCAGCTAGCTCAGTTAGTTCCATATCTCTTTCCAATGAGCCTGTAATTTTCAAATCACATTCCTTTTGTGAATCTAATTTATCCAAAGTTACATGCATCTGAATATTTTCTACAGCCATTATCAATTCATCAAACTTTAAAAAAAACTTTCAACTAAGAATCATGTGTTACCAAAATGCCTCTTTCCACAAACCAGCCATTCTTGCTTGCTATAATTTGATGCATTATTAATTACTCTGTGTAGCTTAGGCAAAGGCAAAGACATTTTCTGGATATTTCGATCCAAGATTAAAAGAGAAATAAAAAAAGAACTTCACATATTTTGCTAATTAAAAAAAATGCAAAGATCCTATGGTGAGAGTTCAATATTAATATAAATGAAATGAAAGCACTTTCCCTATCAGAGAACACAGCGTGTTTCCTTATGGGAAAGCGAAACTTATTCAAAACAACGACATAAATCAAAGGGAAAGAGAAAAAAAAAGTTAAATAAATCAGCATTCAATCAACTGGTGAACTTTTAAAGATAAAAAGCAGAATAAAACAGAAAATTGAAGTTAAAACCCAGGCATACTTAAAAAAATGAACTGCCGAGAGGAAGACCACTTCCAGGGGAACTGAAATTTTCAAGACACCTCTGCCCAGGTGGATCCATAGCTACCCAAAGCCATCTTGGGTCATTGCTAAGTGTTCCCATTCAAATCCTGGGAGCAACATTGCCAAAGAACCAGCTTTGGCAGCAAAATCAGCTGATGGTTGGCAAGAGAGAAAAAAAAAATCCAAGTTTTTTTTTTTTTGAGAATGTTTTTGGCTTGTCTTTCCAGAACTTGGAAGGGAAGTATTTCAACTTATGAGAAGTAATATTAGAACCATTCTTGCTTTAGCTCCAGAGCAAACGGAATAGAAATACCCATTCCAGATTACATATTCTGCTGTAGGAAAAAGATTGTTTCTAGAAAGTCCACTGCATTGTGTTTTTTAATTTTTTTTAAACTTTCCAATGAAATTCTCTTATTTTTATATTGCAGATATGGGAATCTGTGCCATAACAGCCATTCCATTTGAAAAATCAAAAGTTCTTTTCACTTTGGAAGAGTTGGATGATTTTTCTTTTGTAGATGAAACTGATCATCAAGTAGTTCAAGATGTAACACGAATTGGGCCTAGCCAAGAAAAATGGGGCTGGATAATGTTTGAATGTGGAATTGAAAATCTGACAATAAAAGGTAACTGACCTTTCAACATTTTTTAAATATGTGATAACGCTGTAAACACTGTAAAGAACCTGATATTTTCTATGTTTGTATATCGACAGGTGGTAGGCAATGTGGTGCTGTATTATATAATGCATTTGGGAATATAAGTAAATCTGTAGCTACCAACAAAGGAGGATTTCTTGCATCCAATAATTCTTCAGATTCTCCAACTGGCAGTGGTTACAATACTGATGTGTCTGAAGAAATTCTCCACCGTGATGGCATTAGTGGTGGTTCTGATACTCGTTCAAATTCAGTTTCAGATGAGCAGGTAAGACACATTTTTAAAATAGTCTTTGAACCATGCTAGCTGTTACTTCTGTAGATAGTAAAAATATTTTCCTATTTGCTAAATTAAGCTGCTTTTCAATTTGATTCACTTCTCTGGGAAAATATGTAATTTGTGTGCATGTTCATATTTTGATAAGAAAAAGTCTTATTCCTTTTTATTTTTGCAGGTGACACAATCAGCTTACATCTTAAAAAGAAATTTAAGAAACCTTAAACTGTCCACTATGGACTAATATTGCGCCATTTGATCTTTATTTCTGCTGTTTAGGATGAAGGGGTTGAATCTGATGAACTAAAAAAGGACCATCCTTTAAGGCCTCCCCCACCTGATTCTTGTAGCATGAAACTGACAATGAAAGAAATCTGGTTCAGTTTTGCAGCTCCAACAAATGTTCGTTCACCTGCCCATATATTTTCAAGGTGTGTTGGATTCTGTTTCACATTATTTGAACTTTGGTAATGGACTGTAGTACATATTTATTGCCTGATGTATAAAGCATCTAAAATCTACATGGACTGCAGATATAAATTCATAAAAAAATAATTTATGGGGTTCATTGTGTATTTTTAATTTATAGTAGATATCAACATTTTTTGAGAATGTGCATTAGGCATTTCTACCTAAAATATATTTTATGTAACTAAACAGACACATTTTTAGAATTTGTTGCTGAATAAGAACAAAAGTAGGCTAAAATTACAAATTGGAATACTCATGTTAGTAGATATAGTTTTAAATTTTTAAAATTCTTTAAAAAGTGCAATCTTTTTTGTGTTTGTTATGGTTAGGATAAAAATTCAGATATTGTTGCTTTTAAATACTTGAATGATTCAGAGTGGTAACTTTTTATTCCAAAGTGTGGAGTGTGCTATTTTCCCTAAGACCTCATTATTAATATGTCTCTGTAATTGAAATTAACCTTGTGTATAACCATGCGAATTGTGATAGTTTTACTTTTTTACTATTTTTAAATATTTTTACTCCAAACTCTTTTAGTCTCAGTTTTGTCTTTGATTGCAATGGACATAATAGAAATATTGGCATTTATACATACTGAGTTACCTAACCCTACATTTGCTATCCTGTATGTACAAATGAAAATTGAAAATTGTTATGGTGATTAATATTTCTATGAAGGTACACAAATTGTTGACTGATGATTTTACCTAGTTTTGTAATGAAACGTCTGCAAGAAAGCAACCAAGCTCAGAGAGGAAGAAGGATCCCATGATATTTAAATGAATTCCTTGTACAGTTATAGATTACTATGGATATTAAAGAATATGTACAAAATTATGTAACTGATGTTCAATTTCCCTTGCATATTCAACTGTTTTATAATTAATTTTTTTTCTAATATTGTAGGCAACTGAATCTTCTGAGTACTGCAACTCCAGCCATTGGTGCTTGGCTTGTTCCTATTGATCAAGTAAAGTCTTCTTTAAACAAATTAGAAACAGAGGGAACCTTGCGTGTTTGTGCTGTCATGGGATGTATAATGACAGAAGCCTTAGAAGTAAGTATTATTAAGATAAAGAGTTTGGATATATTATGCAAAGACCTAACTCTCTTGAGATGTGTACGATACTGGGAAAAATGAAGAGAACGAGAAGGTGACCAGCAGCCAGGTTGGAAAAGATTAAAAAAAACGATTTAGCAAGCAAAAGATATAATATCTCTGTGAAATACATTGTTATCTTTATAAGACACAGACTGTTGTTCCCCTTAAACCCCATTTCTTAATCTTTAGTTTTGAAAGCCACACACCATAACAATATAATATTATGAAAGGGTGATCATAAAAATTAATAAAGTTCTAAATCTGCATTTAGTTTTTCAGTAAAAATAGACTGTTAGCATGTGTGTATATTAGCTGAAATATTAGATTGTGAAATAATATTGAATGATACAACTAATTGCTTTTATATATTCAGAATAAAAGTGTTCACTTTCCTTTGAGAAGCAAGTACAACAAGCTCACAAGATTATCTCGTTATCTACAAGAAAATCCTTCCTGTCTGTTATGCAATATACTTCATCATTATCTTCATCAAGCAACTTTTTCCATCATTGAGGAAGCAACCATGGTAAGTTAATGTTTAAGAACATGGTCTGATTAAAAAAATACTAAAATAGGAGAGCTCTTTTGTACTGTGTTATATATTTATAAAATATTCTTTACTAATTGCAATTTCTATTAAAATTTGTATAAAACTCTTGTGACATATCTGGCTATTTAACAACAATAATAATAATGCTTATTCCTAATAACAAACACTGGCAGCATCCAAAGAAAAGCAGAAACAAAAGAAACAAAACAGAATAGAGACTTAACAAAGAAGCATTGTTAATAAGTTCAGAAAACCCGTACATATGTAAAAATATCTTATTTTATTATAAACACAAAAATGAGTATTTTATTGTGTTTCTGATCAACCAAATGTTTTAAATTTGTTTTATTTTATTGTTATAAGAAATATGTATATATTATTTCGATATAGTGGTATTTATGTAGTGTTTACTACACTCTAATATAGTCAACACTACATAAACATTCTAATGTTTTCTTTTTTCTTTTTAATAGTCTAAGTTTTATCACTTTTTATTGTGATTTAAAATGTTGATATTAATAAGCACAAGATTAGCTATTACATCCAAGAACATTAACAGCTGCAAAGTATATCAAAATATTTGTTGCACAATAAAGGTTTCTATCTTAAGGTGATTACTTAATGCTAAGATTTCCAGTAATTTATACTTATTTTTTATACATGTTAACAAAGAGAGAGAGAGAGAGAGAGAGAGAGAGAGAGAGAGAGAGAGAGAGAGAGAGAGAGAGAGAAGATAAAAATAGAGCAAAAAATAGGCAACAACTAAAAAGAAAAAAAGGGAAAGGACTTATCCTTTATTAAATAACTTGAACATATAAAATATCCAGAATCTAAATTGTAGGAGTGAATAAGAAAACTTGGATGAACTTATTTGCAAGCAAATTTGCATGTGATGATATGTAAGGGGTTGCCTTTTGGAGTCTGGATTTTAGAATGTCCTGGATATGTGTTTGTATTCTAGAGTGATGGCCTTCCTGCTCTGGTGACATTAAAAAAAGGTCTCATTGCATTAGCAAGGCAGTGGATGAAGTTCATTGTGGTGACCCCAGCCTTCAAAGGGGTAAGTTTACACAGACCAACTCAGCCAATAAAACTCCAGTCAACTGTACATCAGGAGCAAGAGAATGGCTTTGGTTTGGACAATGTGGGAGGACTTCAAAGTGACACAAGTGCTGATGGAGCAGAATTTGAGTTTGATGCAGGTATTATATTCATTTTCACATACTTTCTCTTTCTCATCCCCCTTTCCTCCCTTTCTCCCTCTGCATATTCTTAAGATCAGTTTATTTTGAATTCCATCCACATATGGTATTCTTTCCTCTTTAACACGTACTTGGAAAGAAAAATGTTTTAAAAATTATTTAACCTTGTTAAATAAATAATAATTTTTTCTTCCAAGTGCTCTTTTTTAATTATGGAATGCATCTGTAAAATTTTGTGATATTCTAAGCTAATTCACATGGAAAAATATAGGTAATTACAATAGCATAAGCAATATAATTTTAAAATTCATAATCATGATAATCATTAAAACGTGGGAGGGAGGCTGGGAAAATGTTATAAATAGAACAACTTCAAAAATACCACTTCAGTTTTATTACTTACTGTTTTGTTGAGATTATTGAATTACATTATTCAAATATTGCTGTTTCTTGCTGTTCCTTCCTTATCTATACATAGCAGCTGGTAGTTGATTTCCTCAAATTAATGCATAGCTAATAGATATTGAGGTGTAATCCTGACCCATCACTGAGTTAAAGATAGCTGTCTTAAGCAAAAACCTGTACTGAATGGGCATTTTAAGGGGAATTGTAATTTATATATTCAAAAACCAAATCTGCAATAACCATTTATGTTGTCTTGTGAAGAAAGAGTATTTGCACTTATGAATTTGTATTTCTTTTTGTGTTTATGTGTTTAAAGCAACTGATTTTACCTTGTTCAGACACTATTGGTGACTGCCTTTCAAGGTTGATCAGGTTAGGAAACAGACTCCACAGGAAGCCTAGAATTATATTTTTTTGAGATAGGCTATAAGAATAAAATTTTGCAAGTCCATATTTTTATTGCCCAGGGAGTTGGGGGGGGAGAGTGAGTCTGAGTTTTTATATAATATTTTCCTTCCTCTCTGAGACTTTTCATACAGGTAGTCCTCGATTTATGACCATTTCTTGAAATGGTTGTAAGTCATTGAAATTACAAGGGTGTCAAAAACAGTGACTGTGACCTATATTCACACTCAGGACTATCACACCAACCCCACAGTCATGTAATCATAATTCAGACACCAACTCACATTTACAGTTAGTTGCAGTGTCCTGCAGTCATGTTCTTGTGATTTGCATTTTTTTGTTTTGCTGATTTCCAGCAAAAAATGCCTATTGGGGGAGCTGGATTCAGTGATTTGCTTAACGACCGCTGTAGAAATTGTTGTAAAATCCAAGTCAAATTACAACTGCAATGACTTAAGATGGAAATTTCCCCAATTCTGGTCATAAGTCGAGGATTATCTATGTTTCTTCTGCACCTGCTGTTTCTCTTATAGCCTGTGGATTCCTCCACAATTGCTTATCTGGCTTATCTTGTATAAGTAGCAGTAATTATACCTAGTAATATGTTACACAGCCTGTTTTACAATCTGAATTTATAAATTTCCACAATAAACAGCTGCATATATGTGTGTTCCAATCATCTGTATATCTTGGTGGTTAGCAAATACTAGTCTCCCTGTTATGTAGCAACATCTATGCCACAACTCCCAGATTCTATTGCCAGGCTGGTACAAAAAAACATAAGGCTTATAGTCCCTGGGGATATTAATTTCTCCTTGGATGGCATTAAGTTGGGACAACTCAGGAGTTCATGTCAGAAGTATGTTCTCCATGTAGAATTTAGTATCTTAAAGGGTGGTATTAAGGCTATGAGTTCCCATTGCAACATCCTCCTATTCCAGGTTGGCCCATAGCTGGTGCATTGAGTGGAACTGGGCAGCTGGAATTCCAGCCATAGCTACCTATTAAGTGTAGCTGTGGAATGCCCAAATCTGAGCTGGTTGTCCACAAAGAGATAACATCATAACTGTCAAAGCACCTTAATAAAAAAAACAGGAACAAATACATTGAAGTAACTTCTTAATTGTGTTCAATTACATTTTAATTATTCTGGAAAATAAACAGATATAAAAAAATCCTTGGAAGTTTTGAAAAAATTACATATACAATATAACAGAGTTCCCCAACCTTTCCAGCTTTGCAGACTCATGGGGGGAGGGAGAGAAGGGATGGGTCCGTGCGAGCGACGGGCAAGTGAGTATGGGCAGCTCCATTTGTGCAAACGGTGGACACGCACGCCGCTCGCATAAATGGTGTGCACACGCTTGCCCGCTGTTTGTGCAAATGAAGATGCAGGCGCACGCACTCTTGCCACTTCCGTGGCCTGTTTCTGAATGGCTCAAGGCCCAGTAGTGTGCTGCAGCCTGGAGGTTCGGGACCCCTGCAATATAATGTATGCACTCTAATAAAAACTTTTGTAAAGTTCTTCTAAAGTACAGGTAGTCCTTGATTTACAATCATTAGTTTAACTTCAATGGGGGAGGTTGAATTCAATTAACAACCGTACGACTCACTTAACAACTGCATTAATTCGCTTAACTATTGAAAAGGGATATAAAATGGGACAAAATTCACTTAACAGCTGCCTTGCTTAGCCAAGAAAATGTTGGGCTCCATTGTGATCATAAGTCGAAGACTATCTGTATGATTAATGTAAATTGGCAGGGAAGTTGTTTAATCAAAAGTACTTGTAAAAAGAGTCCAATATATTTATTACAATTGTACCTAAGAGACACTGAATGAGATGATTCAAATTTCAGTATTTTTCCTGAATTTTGTATACCCAATATTAATAAGAATTTGTAGGCAGCTAAGTAATATCTATTTTAGTAACTAATTGTCTTGGCTAGATTTATCCTCTTGTTAATTTCTCCATTTGCTGAATGTTTTAGCTACTGTCAGTGAACATACGATGCTTCTGGAAGGAAGTGGTACACGCCCCCCACCTCCTGCTGGGCCTGTAACTGGTGCTGAGATTATGAGGAAATTATCAAAGACTCATACTCATAGTGATTCTGGCCTTAAAATAAAGGTAAATCTGTTTTATTCCTCATCAGTATGAAATTTTATATTATATATGTAACATACTTTTTTGTTGAAGAAAAAATACCCACGTGTATAATTTTATATCTAGATCTTAGTACTCATAATTAAAATATGAACAAATAATAATATATTTACCACTTTGCCTCCAGCTAGAGTTTTATTTAGGTTAAGTTCTGGTGATCGCCACAGGTTTCTTATACTGTGAAGAAATCTGGGCAGAAAACAGATTAAATTTAGTGGGAATTAGCAATGGATATATATTGGCGTTGGTTTCTTGTGATCTTATTAACATTCTGTATATATTTGCTTTTCAGGGTATCCATCCATATCATTCTCTGAGCTATACTAGTGGAGATACAGCTACAGACTCACCAGTGCATGTTGGTCGTTCTGGGCAACTTGTTAAAGAAAGCCCAAGAAAAGAGAGTTTACTTAGCTATTTGACTGGAAGTTTTCCTAGCCTACATAATCTTTTGGAAGGGACTCCTCAAAGAAGTACCAACGTCCCCAAAAGTAGCTCTTTAACAAGAACAGGTAGAAATAATTTTATTGCTATTATATTTTATTGATGAAAGCAATGAATGATGGCTTAATTTCACACTATTCATTGTTTTCAGTATTACTTAGAGTTCTCCAGATACTATAGTAATTTTCTTTTCATCAGGGTACATGTTCAGATATAAACTGCGTAGCCACTTCTCTGCAAGTAAATTTGATTAAAGTGGCAATAAATCAGCTGGTACAAACACTGTTACTAAAAGAGAGAGGGAGATCCATATTACATTTGGAATAATTTTTCAATAAAGTGTAATTTATTCTTGTGTCAGTGTAAGATATCTCTTCTTGATCTGTTCTTTAGATGTTTATCTGCTGTCTTGTCTCTTATTTATTTATTTAAGCTATATCCTCCCTCTTTTTCAAGGGTTTAAAGTAGACTATGTAGTTTTCCCTTCTCCCGATTTATCCCCACAACAATAACAAGCCTATTAAATTGTTAGGTTGAGAAAGTGTGATTGAATCAGACAAATCATTGACCTTCCATGGCTGAAGGTGGACTTGAACTTTCATGTCCCTCGTCTAACATATTAAACATTTCACTACACTGATTACCGATAATTTGAAGAAAGGGGTTGACCTAGTGAATAGGTAGAAGAATTTGTAGACAGTTTTGTAGAAGATAAAATTCTATTGCATTCTTATTTATTTATTTATTTATTTTATTTAATTTATATGCCGCCCTTCTCCCGACGGGACTCAGGGCGGCGCACAACATATTTAAAACAAAACATAAATACATTCCCCCCCCAATAAAACCGAATTAAATCAAATTTTAAAGTTGTGTCTCTGTCAAATTGCTAAAAAATAAACCCCATATAAAATCCTCCCTAGGTCAGGTCCG